ATCTGGATCATTGATTGATCGATCGGAATTTAATACGCTTGTGTGCTGGTGATTTCTCGCACTGCTTAAGCTTAGCGAGATGGTCAATAAGAAGAGCTGAAAAATAGATTAATAAACAATTAATAAAAAGAGCTGAAAAATAGAATATTAACAATAATATAAGATAAGCTTGTTTGTTTGCCAAATAATATATCAATAATTTAAAACAACCATGAGCGAACAAATAAGATATTTAAAGAAGCAAATCCTTTTTAATAAAATAGCAAATATAATATAATATAAATACCTATGTTTCGGCTCACAGAGTCTTCATCAGTTATAATAACATGAAAATTGAAACTTACAATCTTGAATCTTACTTCTAACTATAAAGTGACAATGAGAGACAAGTCGGTAACCAGATAGAATTTTCTTTCAGCATGTGATGTAGTAATTAGAGCAGGCATACACTAGTCCAACAATAAAATAGAAATGCGTTATTTTTTTTTAACAATAACGTAGTTACATTTTTTTAACGGTAACAAATTTTACAGTTACTTTTATCGTTACTTTGCATACGATTCAATATGGTTGGACACATAATGCTTGAGACTCCTAAGCCCATCTGCTGTGATTGGTTGTTGTCGATATTAAAAAAATAACAGAAAAGAAACGAAAAGTTACTTTCTCAAGCAACAGTAATTGTAACGAGTTACTTATAAAAATCGATAACTAGTAACGTGTTACTGTTTCTATTCGGTTACGAGTAACTGTCACTTGTTACTTTTAAAAAGTAACTTTCCATTCTTTAATTTTTAGTGACTTAAATTTAACTGTCTGGACAATATTGACCTTACAATTTATATCGGACTTAACTTAATTCTCGCTGTCAACGAATTTGTTATTGGACTTTACATTTTGATGCTAACTACTCATATTTTATTGTTGGACATGGTGTATGCCTGCATCTCTAATTACATCATATGCGGAAAGAACCAACTTGTCTCTCATTGTCACTTTATAATTAGATGTAAGATTTAAGATTGTAAGTTTTAATTTTTATGTTATTATAATCAAAATGTAAAATTTATGTTATATTATATTTGCTATTTTAATAAATGTTATAGAGGATATACTTATTTAAATATCTTATTTGCTGGTCTCTTAATAGTCTTGAATTATTAAAATAGAAATATGTAAATAATATTTACATATTTTGCTTTTAACTATTTGTGAAGATGGTTAATTTTTATATTATTTCTATTTTTAAATGCAGATTACCAATAAAAATATTTTCTTATTTTATTTATAAAAAGTAAGAGAATAAACAATTAAGAGAATAAATGAAAAATGTTGATATTACTTAATAAACGTGTACATAAAAAAATATACCTATATGTTAAATTAAAAAATCAGGTCTTTTTAAATTCTTTCGAAGTTGACATAATCTTTACTACATGACGGAACATATAAATGTTATCTTCTGCGGTTTGACGATAACTTTAATCACATCTTAATAAAAACGCGGAAGATGACATATTTCCTTAAGCAAATATACTCTAATGCCATTTAGACAATTGGAATAAAAAATAATTTCTGCGAGTTTATGATAAAATCAATCTTGATTCAATGATAATTTTCTTGTTTTATGTCTTAGTATCTACTAATGAAGATAATAAAATAGCATTTCATTAATTTTTACGACTTCCATTTTTAATGATTAATGAAGACATTTCGCAATATAACGTTTCTCATCATTATGAATCAAAACAAATAAAAAAACTTTATGCGCAAATAAACAAGAAATTAAAATTAAACTTTAATTTAAAAAATGTTTAATTTAAAATGTATGATTAATAAAAATTATTAAAATAAAAAAGAAGCATTGTTGGAAGACATTGAAATTAATGTTATTTTTTATTTTATTATTGCATTATTATTTTATTATTTTATTATTACATATTTATTATTTTATTTAATTATTATATTTAATTAAATCAATTATTATAATTAGACAAATCTGTTATATTTTTCATGAAATAATACAGCATTATAGTTACATTTTTTAATAATAGTTACTTTTTAAAGAATTATATAAAACTAATTATTAACTTTATATATTTTATTATATTTTAATATTATTATATTTTTACTATTACATCTTTAATATAGATTTTATCATTTTAATATAATTTGTATTCAATAATATTATGTTAGATTAAGCGGTAAAAAAGGAAATAGCAATAAGTTCAACTTGATATATTATATCTAAAACTGTAAAATATTCTGAATATAATATCCAATCAAAAAAAATTTTTTTTAATATTGAAGAAAAGGTAGAATTTGAAAAATTTGATTAATTATTCGATAAATTATATCATTCCTGATCCTTACCGTCAATGTCAATCTCATTGTACAGTGGTATTTCCTTTCTTCCTGTCGCGAATGTCTTGATTGCGGCTCACTCTCCAGTTGTTGCTCGGACTCTTAGGCGGCGTTTGAGGGGAAAGATTGACCGCGCTACGGTTATATACCTAAACCGGCTGCGATCTCGAAGAACGCAATTAAGTTAGTTTCACACAGGAGTCTGTGATATGCAGATTCGTTGTAAAGCAAGAGCAGTCTTATTCCTGGTAAAAATCCCGCCACTGTGAGTCTACAGTGAATCATCTTCATAAACGAACCGCAAACAGATGAAGAGACTCGAAAATTCATAGTATTTCTTTTATAACCCAAGATGGGTGAAAGCCCTAGATGAAAAAAAAGCTGTCAGGGGAAGGGAAAGGGAAGCAAACTTTTGACCATATCTGCGAAATAATAGTTTCAGGATGTTGTGAATTTTTTGAGATTTATATATACACATGCAGAATTTTTTAATATACCATTATTACTACTATAACTTATTATATTATTATTAACTTATAACTTCTTATTATAATTTATTATTTACGTATTATATTTTAAATTAAATTTTTTGATGGAAAAGTTGTATGGATAAAAGTTGTATGGGATGAGTTATACATTGTAATAAAAATATGGTGAACAATAAAAAAAATAATTCTATAATGAAGTAGTACTTATACAATATTAAGCTTACATTCATATAACTTTTGTATTAACAATTAGATATTATTGGAAATTGAAAACATTTTTTTAGTTTATTATAAAACTAATATGGTTTTTACGATGATACAGATATCGAAACTACTTCTGACTTTCATGTAAACTAAGGATTAGGCATTTTTTTGTAATCCACAGTGAATTCTGCTAGTGTTAAAAGCCTATTCATTGAGCGCTAAACATTTGTACGTACGACTCACACGTGTTGCATATGCAAGCGGTTTTCCCACTCTTCCAGTGACGGTGACAGTGTTTCTCATTTAAAAGTAATTCTGGTATAAAGAACAAAAATAAGAAAATTTATTTTGTACTCTTACTATCGGTATATAAATAATGTGTTGTTTTATATTTAAATTTTAATTAAAATTATTATTAAATGATTTACGAAAGACACATTTATTACGCTAATTAAGAAATATAAGGACAAGAAATTAAGACATCACGGAAAATTAGACAACCACTATCTTACGTCGCATGAATGAATAGTTGAAGGAACGAGTGACTAACTATTCGCCCCGAAGGCATTAACAATGACACGTTTACTACACACTGCAGTAATTTCTACCATATTCCTAGTAAGTACGCCAATAATCAAACGATTCGCCGATGAGACCTTGACTAACGTTCGCAATTTTATTGCCATCTAATATTAGAACTGTTTCTATATTACAAACATTTTTCTCCAATATTATGCATTTAATATTAAATGGACTACTAAAGAAATATTGATAATATTTAATTAATGAAATTCTACCTTAATACAGTTGCTATAACTAAATGTAAATATTATTTTAATAAGAAATATATAATAATAATTTTTATAATAGTTTTATAACAATTCGGTATTATCATGAAACAATGCTTTATTTATTGTAAAATTGGTTGCAATAATTATAATCAATCATAGAAAATATTGTTTAAAGAATTAAATATTTTTTTAAGCAATCGTTGAAAAATAATCTATATTACTTTCTTTAGTTCTGTCGGGTAATAAGATTCAAATATAATTATGCACTAATTATCCTACTTTTGAAGTATAGTACTACTTTCAAAAGAAGCATTTTGTTCGTTTTTCTCATGAAAACAGTAGAAAGATACTAATCTGCATCCACGAATTTATATATTTTTTAAAACGGCACACATTTTTTTTACACATACTTTATGTTCCAATTTAGAATATACGTATGTTGACACACGTTTCATTTATGTCATCGTCAGACCCTCTGGCAAACGATCTCTAAATATGCAGGTATATATCTCGAGATACGATCTAGTAAATGTTAAATTAATTCCAAAGCTTTCTTTTTTAGCAGTTTAAATCCGCAACCATTTAACATATACATATTTTTTATTTTGAGAAATCCATATGTAATGTGAGAAAACGTGTTTTATTAAATAAAAGACAAGGAATAATTCTTCGAGTCTGTCAGGTTTAAATCTGATTCTGACGCACATAACTGAGTTGCGTGTTAATTAAAAACGATAACAGGTAATTATACACGATTGCTCATTTAAATATTATATAGCATAAAAATATTTGAAAGAACGGGATTAAAGAACGGGGACAAAGTAAAATTAGGTATTGTAAAGTATAATTTATCTTAATTAATTAATTTTTTATTTTCTATTTGATAATTGCTTAGTTATAATTTATGTCGATATTTTATTAATAAATATTTATTAACTCAAACATTAGTCTAGTCCATTCTATTATTTAAATTTTATAAACTTAAAAATCGAATTAAAAATATCAAAATCGCAATAAATAATAAATTTAATAAATTGTATTTTTACATAGTTTAAATATTAACGTATGTAATTTAACTTGACAATTATGAAAGATAATTATTTAAGCTATATAAATTGTTTTAATAATAATAAGAACGTTCACTACCGTTAAAATACTAATAATAATCATTGGAATTATCAAGGTCTATATTGATAATTTCGTCTCGGATAAGAATTGTAAGAATTGTATCTTCGATAAGCCGGATTTCTATAAGATCTCCGCTGCACTTCTTGTCGGTATTTGAAGAACGGTCTAAAAACCATATTTGCGGCTACTTCCATATCGTGTGGATCTTTGGGATAATTAATATCCGCATCCGAAGTCCAAAAGAGTGGTGTAATATCGACACGAGACATTTTGGCAGGCAATGAATTTTCGGAATTAATATCATTCATGTACTTGATCTGTTTTGTATTCGACTCATACAATGAAGGTGATACTCCCATCTATATGATGAAGAAACATCTTTAAATCTTCCTCTAAATATATTCATTTTTATGTCTTTAAACGCAAAGTTTGTAACTAATTTTATTTTAATTAGTTATAATATTAATAGTAACAATTATAATTTATTGCAATTTTGAAATATTATCTATAAAATACAGGTATATACTGATATTTTTATAATTTAATTTTAGATTTAATTTTTTCTGCAGCATTATTTTCTAATATCTAACGTAATATATAACGTAATGGTATGTAAATTTAATCATAATAATTGAAGTAATAAAGTTTCTTTATAATTACGTTTTAAGTATTTGTCCATCAAAATTTCATAGTTCCTAAAAAATAAAGAACTTAAAAAAATTATCTTAAATATTGTGAGAAAAATGGATTTACCTCCGAAGAGGATAGATCAAGTCGCCAATTATTAGGACCCACGCTCCACGAGCTTTCATCGTAATTTGGAACATTCTGTTGAACTCCGTCATAGCTGTTCTCCAATTGAGTTTTTAAAATTTCATCTTGCATTGGTAATATTGGCACGTCAATTTTATCATCAGAAATTTTTGCGGATTCAAGGAACGCGATGATTGGTACCGATATTGTGAGTGGTGGATGTTCCAAGGGCATTATTTCCTGGCTCGGGTTTGACATAAGATATGGAATTTCTTGAGGTATGTTATCGATAAGAAACGGCTTCCGCGTACTTTTAAATGTCTCGGTTGATGCTTCGTTTAAATCGTCGTGTTGCGATGCATAAGACGAAAAATGTTTACTTTCCTGGAAGATCATATGCTCGATAACATTACGTCAATCCATCACATGTTCTTTAACGATTTCTTTATAAATTACATCGGCAGTTAATATACATCATCGACAAGTGTCGCTCATTTATATACAATTCCCAGGCAACACGCATGTTTATAAGACGATCTTTATGGCCAGTATTCGTAATCCGTTTTTATTTCAACCCTGTCTTGTAATAAGATGCTAATAGAATGATTTATATCTTAAAACTGTATTTAAGACGATCTTATATATGAGAACGGAATATCAGCCTACGACATCTTAAATATACATGTTATTGGAATATATGTATTAAAAAAATATATGTTATATGATAATAGAATATCAATATAGCATTTTTACATATTATATTTTACCGAGTTTATGTATCCATTTTCGCCGTTTTCAGTAAAAAATTGAACATCTGTAGATATTAAATCATCTACATCAGTTTTTGCATTCACAGTCTCTGTTATATTTTTCCGTACATCCTCTAGATTCGCCATAGGAACGACAAGAATCTGCTCACTTTGTGACACCACCTTAAAAAGATTTTATTTTTAAATAATAATGTAATAAATTCGAATATATGAAACATATTCTAAATTTTTTTATTTTCCTAAAAACAGTTATTTATCTCTATACTAACAGTAAATCGGCGTAATATAAAGCAATAATTAATAATTGTGACAATAAAATTACGTAATTCTTTTTAATAACTAATTAGCATTTTCAAACTGCTATTATGTAAATGACTAATTATGAATCATGCTATGAATTGGTTTATTATTGTTAAAAAGCTAATGATAGTAGCCACACTAATAATTAACAAGTATATCGTTAATAGCAGCAATATTCATTTGTATTTTTAAATACCATGTTCTTTAATGAAGCAGATGTACAGAAATGTTGGAGTAATATTTATAATTGTATATATTAATTGTATATATGTACATATAAAAATATATAGAATATAATAAGTAAACCTTAGTAGGTTCAGTGGCGGGCATAACAAGCACTTTCTTCTTTATCACCAAGCCTTCTAAGGATCTATTGCCGATTGTATTTTGTACAGCATCTTGCACTACCGGATCCCGCACAACAGCGGCCAACGTATCATTCGTGGTCTGAGGTTCCGTTGGTAACAAATTTGCAACATCTTCATAATCAATAGGTTTCGCATCGGATATGTACACGAATAATACGAATAATACGATCACAAAAAACATGATACTTCCAAGCTATAAAATGCAATCAATAACATTTTAAAAATAAAAGCTTAATAAATTTTGACTTGAATGCAATTAAAAAGCTATATACTTTAAACAGATTGAAATTTACAATAGAATTTACTTTCTCGAGATTTTAATTTGAGGAATTTAATTATTACAAAAAATGTATTTAAAATGTTAATGCACCCATATATATTGATTTGTCATTAAAAATTAAATATTTCATCAACTCTAAGTTAATAATTAATTTTTATTTAATAAATTATACGTTCAATTAATTATATACTTTTTATATTTTATATTTCTTATTAACTTTATAAATATAAATAATCTTTCCAAATAAAAAATTTGTATAGATTGCAAAATCTATGATGCAAAATTTAGCGTATATTCTTCGTACATTTATATATGTGTTAATTAATATATAAAAAGTGAAATTTTCAAGTGAATTTAAAAATTGATCTAAAAACGTACCGATAAGTCGTTTTTCATCTCGATAATAATACTGCAATATCTTTCTGTAGCTTCAACGAGACTGCTTCGCCAAAGATTTTCCAGCTCTGTTAAGGTATAACGGATCATACTGGTTTTATACGACATGCTGAAAGAATTATCGTTTCTCTGTTAATAAACGTGAGTATCAACCTTGTGGTAAACTTCGTTGCACGGATGCTGCATCATGAAGATCATACAGACAGACATAATTGTTTCAATCATGTAATAATTAATTCAAATGAGTTATAATCTTGTATTTTTTATATTTTTTCATGTTGTATAAAATATTAATTTTTCTATTTTGATTAATATACATGTGCTAGTATTTTATTTCTTATATTTTAATAATTTTAATAAAAAATTAAAATTGTAGAAAATTGTCAAAATTTTGTATTTATTATATTTATCGTTTTAAATATAATTTCTTACATTCCATAAATTTATGAAACGATTATGAAATAATACGTACAAGAACATTTGAATATTACAACAACTACTGTTTGATCAACCACGAAGAAACATTGTATTTATGATTAGCGATATCTTAACGATCGATAGTGTTTAACAAGTAATTTAGCAACGAATCCTGAAGCAAGCTATAAAAGACTTGCTTCAACTTTCTGAACCATTAGTCAGCAATTGGAAACTGTATTCTTTGTATCATCCAGAAAATCTGTGATTCAAATGGAACGCTTGAGCATTATTCTTTTCAATTTCTATTCTCTCGCGATCTTGGCGGAATCAATGTCCACTAGATCGTCAACAATGATTGAAACTTCGTGGGACAATGTACATGACGTAAGAAATACAAAAAAATCACGTAAATCTGTGAAGCAGAATATACAGAATAATACTAAATATCCTTTAATTAAAAATCCCATGAAGAACTCTACCCAGGCTGGAGAACACACGAAGGATTCGTTATATTTGAATAACGCATCAAATGCATTCACAATTTCAACTGGTGACTTTTCAAGCAGTAATATTAAAGATATGCAATACAATGAGAATAAAGAAAATGATGCAGATCGTAAAGAAGAACCATCTGAAGATTTGTCGTCGCATGATATCCTACTGGATCCTAGTTTATTACCGGCTCGTCTAAGTCGTCAAATTGAACAAGGTAACGCAGATTACTCAAACCTCGCATCGATCTCCAGTGATGTTAAGTCTAACAACCATGACGATAGTAAAAGTGTTCTTTCGTCGAAATGGAATTTGAACTACGGGAGTGATCTCAGCGTGGCTGAAGATAGATATCCGTCTGCATATCCGTATTATCGAAGAGAGTTTTCGAATCAAAGATATCGAGCAAACGGCAGAAAGGAACATTATCATAATTATTGGAAATATCCTGTATTTTCAGGAAAATAAATGGAAGTGTCTGAGTTTTTTCTTTTTCTTCTTATTGAAAGAAAATTAAATTTGCATAGCTATGTAAGTAAAAAACAGTAATGACAAATTCCTAACAGAGAAATATGTATTAATAATAAAAGTAAAGAAGTAATCTTATAAACTTATAATTAAAATGATAAAATTAAATATCTAAATTATTAATGTTTTTTGAGAAGAGAGAAAGTACTTCTAAAACAATTTTACCAAAGTTTTCTAATTAGAATAACTTTTTTGCCAATAAAAGTTGATGCTTATAATTAAATTGAGCTGGAGCTTAATTTTTTTAAAAGTCTCATATTTTAAAACAAAGTCTCAGAATATTTTTAAAATTAAATAAAATAATAAATTATTTTATTATTTTATCAATTTCTGTTCTCAATTCTATATTTTATTATTTTAATGAACATTTTCTTCAATCTATAAATTGTATCTATAAGTTTACAAGAAACAATTAAGTATTATAATTATATTAAAAAGTAAAAATGTACAATATTAATTTATTATTATGTTATGCATTTGCGAATGATGATAGGAATAAGAAGTAAAATGAACATATAATTAATATTCTACATTTATTTATAAAATGCCATACACAAATTTATTTCGTTACGTATGTAACATTTACTCTCAAAGAAATCGTATCAATAAATATACTCTCATATGTACATTCGAGTATTCATTCGAGTAATATTATTTGCTTGCATAAGGCAACTTTGGTCGATAGCTTTTACTTATTAATGTTATTTTTAATAACAAGTAATAATCGACTCATGATTATAAAAGAAAACGCTAATTACATTAGAAATTATAAAGTAATACATACTGCCGCTTCCTCTAATTCTTTTGTTTATTATTTTAATCAGCTCACTCTCTTGTATGTTTTAATCCGACTTAAATCTGTAGAATTTTTATAAGAGATCATATATGATCGTAAAATAGCTAAATGTTTTCTTGATTTTTTGCTCTTATTGTTCCGTTTGTTGTAAAAAGAAAAAACCTTCTGAATCAGCAAGTTCACACCCGTTAATTTATACCGTTAATCTTCGTCGAAATAACGTCCACAATCTTTTAGCGTAATTATACTAATAAGTTCAATGCTCTTCGCTGCTGTTTTAAAGTTTACTCGTTTTTCAGTACAAAAATTTCCTTTCCGTTATCGACTCTCTGTATTTTTTCTGTACTTCACATATTTTTTTATCTCGGCGATAAACTCCGACAAGAAAACAGTTTTATTTGCGCCCAAAATTTTCATATTGGAGCGAGTCTTTCGCTTCGCTGTTTATAAACTTGAGTTTTTATTCTTGTGTGCTCATGGTACACCTATAAATATCCATGAACAGCAAGCTTTCTCTCATACAGCCCTGGCAATCTACAGATATCAGTTTTGTTTAAAAAAAGTTCGTATCACAGCTTGCTATTTCTCAAAATAGATATTCGTATTTTGTTTAATCGAATCATTTTAATGCGGAATCATCTTAGCTTCCTTGTAATTTATCCATCTTTCTTTGGGCTTTGCGTATCTTCGTTTAAATTTCATGAAGTTTTTTTTTTGTTCAATCTTCTTTCAATCCTTCTTTAAAGATCTTTAAAAAACTTTAAAAATCTTTAGATCCATTGAGGCTTTATAAGTTTTCAAGTATCTCGATTGTATTATCCTCCCAAAATGAGATAATATCAAAATGAGATAAATTGTTGAAATCTCCAAATCGGCTTTTGTTTCTTTTGCTTATATTCGCCTACCTCTACTTCGGGCAGCACGTTCCCTGGCACGTTGTCGATACGCGACCTGTTGCCGATACACAAAGAGAGGACGAAGAACATTGGTACCAGCTGCAATCTCAAGATCATCATCATTTGCTTCCTCTACACTGCGTTTTTCAATATTAGGGATTGCAATACTATTCGCAACTTTAGAATCGTCATTTAATGCGTACACCGATTCCTTGTTTATCAAAGCTTGAGGATCGTCTAGTTCTTGAACAAGAACCGGTATAAGTATGGGAGAACCATACATGCTCATCATTCTAAGAGGTGATGCGTAAGAACAGGCGACGAACAGCAGCGCGAAGACAATGAATGTGGCAGCCATCTAAGAAAGAAAAAAGGATTGTGTCTTTATATCGACAGATATCTAAAGATTTGTGGATCAATAGTTCATACTGGAAAAATATCTCAAATTTCAAATAAAATACATATTTTTAAAAAGTTCTTAGTAGATGTTCTTTACATATTCTCAGTATATATATATATATATATATATATATATATATGAATGTATTTGTTAAAATAAAACGGATTTTTTGCTTCTAATAATTTTTATATATAATTCAAATAAGTTTCGGAATGAATTAAATCATTTTTTATTTTTATAAGAAAATTTTTTTTCAAATTTTTTTTCATAAATCGTAAAAGACATTAGATTTGTAATAGAAGCAAAAACTATATATATATATTTACGAGAAATGATCTGTTTAAATTTGAGAGAAAAATATACTTACGATCCTGTACTTGAAAGTATTAAATTATATTGATATTTAGCAAGAAAAATAATAATCGCTTTTACTCAAGATTACTCAAAAGAGGAAGTAACACGTTTCAACGCAAACATTTATTTAAAAGTACAATAGCACGTCGAGATAGCTCTCTCACAAGTTTATGGTGGCCGGGACCGGGCATTCAGTATTTATATGAAACAATGACGTCAAACCAGAGCACGCTAATTATACAATGACGTTCTACGACGGGTGATAACTGACCTGGTAAATCAGCTAGACATGACACATCGGTGATCTATCCTAGATGTACTACTACGATGCTCCTTGTTTTGCTGGCCTTGAAGGTGTTAACTTTGCTACAAGGAAACTCCCTCAATGCTTGTCTATTTACGCGTAAAATATTAATAATTTAGTATGTCAATTCGCTGTATTCAGGATTTACTCAAAATTACCGCGCAAATATACGCTTATTAAAAACAAAGCGACAGAATCATTTTGACGTTATTTTGCTGGTACATTCTAAAATATAGCTTTTTATTATCTAGATTTACAGTATCTTGCTTGTGTTCACAATATATTTCCTGACTCATAAAGTATATCTTATTTAGATAAATTTATATTATTTTTCTTTATATTTTTTATTACAATATTATTGTATTTTTTAACTTTATTAAGTTTAAAATGAAGAACAAATTTAGAAAACTACATTTTGTTAGCTAATATTTTTTTATAACGAAAAAGTAATAATTTATTCAAAATATTAGGTTGAATAAAAAGTCATCGCGTATTTTTTAGCTCAAAGTTGTATATACAATATCTTCGTCAATAATGAATGAAATTCAAATTTAAAAAAAGGGTTTTAAAGCTTGAAATCTCTACTTTTAAAAGCTTATCACATTTTTTAAGTTTATATGAGTTTGATAATTTTTACATACCAAAAACTACGAGCTGAAAAAGACGAAAAATTTTCTTCTCACTTTGTGGATTTGTAACGTGTCCAAAACGAATTTGAGAAAATTTTCGATTACCTATCGTGAAAGCTTGATACTTTCCCTACAAAATCGTTTTTTTTTAATATTCCTACGACTTTTGATTACTGAGTTATCGCGGATTAAAGAATTATTTTGACTTTAATTGCTCATAACTCCATTAAAAATTGTCGTATCGTAATTTAAAAAAGAGAATTTTTAAAGCTGAAACTTTACTCTATCAAGATATATTTATATTGTTGGTAAGAAAGTAATTGCGGTTTTTACTGATAGATATACTGATAGACATATATTTTATTATCGTAATACTTATTATCAATTATTGCCAAGTTTAATCGAAATAAAAATAAATTTCACATAATTTCTTCTATTCTAATTCATTACACAGAACATATTTTTGCGAAATATTTCATTATCCAAGATGCAGTGGTTAGATCTTCACATGATGCATGACATAAAAGAGAGCTGTCTTTAAAACGCCACATTATACATTGTTACATCACAACGCATGAGAAAATTTAATCTTGTTCTAATCAATATTGAATAATAATTCGTCATTTAAAATAGGTTCTCTCTTTTCGTTAATATAATTAAAAAAAGTTAAATTTTTGGTCCCTCGATGAAATATATATAACGATGTAAAACTTTGTTTAATTTACTCATTTTCAGCAATTATCCTATTTTGTGATAAAGTATATTTATAAATTAATTAATAGTAAATCAAATGGATAATGTGACGAAATTATATTAAATTGTATGAATGCATTTGTTAATTAATTTTTATTTTCATTATTCTTAACTAAAAATTTTTATTTTTTACAGTTTAAAAATCACTAAAAATTAGGAAAGGACAAAAATCGCGAGTCATTCATCCTTAAGTATAATCCAGGACTCGAGAACTCGCGAAAGCGAATATATGTACATCGTATTTCTGTGTAGCAAATAGTTTGATTTATTTATTTTTCTTTATTAAGTATTTTTATTGTACTAAACAGATTCTCGTGTCTAGCATGATTTCCTTTAAAATGTGACAAGACACATAACGGATAATTATTCTATGGAAGGACAGTTTCTGTTTTTTTTTTCTTTCAATTTAGATGGTGGACTCAGCTTCCTCGTGCACAGATTCGCCGCTTTCGGTAGTTTCGCTTTTTGATCTGAAAGAAATTATCAGATAAGGATTTCTACGGGCTTTAGCTGGATATGAAAGACTAAATACGAGACGAAAAACGAAGGTAAAATAATTTATGCTAGGTAATAACTCGAGGGAGATTGTACGATTCGCTTATAAACATATGTGTATAAGACAGGGTCTGTACAATTTAAGAATTTCAAAATCTAGATTGCAAGGTAGGACAGAATCAGGATTATGAATCAAACCGTTTATTTCGAAAATAGTGTAACTTAAATTTTGCAATATTAAGAATTGTCGAAGTCATCAAGACTGCTTTTATGCAATTTTAATATCTATATTATGTTTATACAATTTTAAACGAAATAAACGATCTAATCAACTCTGAGATAGAGAAAGATATCAATAACTAATGTACTATTACTATCTATCAGTAATTTACATAATAAAAATTAGATTCGTAACTAATTCAAAGTAACACCTAAAATATTCACTCAATTATATTGATATTAGTACAGCTGTTACTGTTGCCAAGAAACTAATCTAATTGAAGAATAATATGTATACCAAGAGTCGTCAATTTCCAACATTACTTAAAAACCAAAATCGAACGTTATTTACAAATAAAATATAAATGCAGACAGATCCAAAACATTTTGATTTTATTAAGATTTTACGGAACTCCTGATAGACACTGAATTTTTTTGATAAATCATCGGATGTTACGGGTATTAAAACAAATCGTACCAAACAAAATGTTCCTACCCAATTTAACAATAATAAACGCGCTAATCCTAATTAAGTCTATGTTTTTTGAGCATATAAACAAAAAGAGTATGTCAGGTTAAACAATTTGAAATGCCTTTGTCATGATTGTCTGGGATCTACTACATTTGCGTCAATGATTCGTAAGAAAACATCTGTATTACCTGAATCCATAGTACATGAATCCGGACTCTCCGCAGAAATGTATTTTGCGAAAATAAATTCGCGGTGAAAAATACATAATTGTAAGAAATATGTGTCTTAAATTCATGTATAAAATCTATAGTGTGAAAAATTCTATTCTCACAATGCTACTTCCAGTTGTGTAAAATATCTGCCAAGTACTGCCCCTATGATAAGAGCGTTCTCGCAGGAGGGAATCATTTCGAACGAATCGGCTTGATGTATGTGCATATTTGCGAGAGCATTGATCTTGCCGTTTCGTTACTTCTGTATAAATAATTTTATTGTATGCAAATTTTCATGTGTCATCCAGTGCCTATCCGTGTAATTCATTTGTGTAAATGAAATTTCGATGAAGGAGAGGAACGACTACAGCGATTTAACGTTGCTCATCGTTAAAATTCAATTAACTGTTTGTGAATAGATCTAATCTAATATCCAATATTAGAACATGCTAAATAACACTCATTCATAACGAATAAATATTAGAGAAGGCTTTCTGTAAACAAAAGAATATTCCTAGAAAAAAATATAGGTATATTGCACTGTTCAAGAAATTGAGATCATATTTATAAAAAATGTAGTGTTTAATAAAATTTCAAATAATTTGTAAAATTTTGTTCGTAGTTTATGCAGCAAATTGAGAATTTCTTGTTCCTCGCTTCGTTCCTCTCTTCAGTCCTATTCTCTTTTTCTTTTTTTACTCAATTCTTCCTTTCACACATGTTTCCAATTTCCGTTTCCTTTCTTTTACTGTGCATTCAGTTTTCTATACATTAAAATACCATTCGACACTATAATTCTACAACGATACATTGTAAATGTAATTAACTACTTCGAGTTGTGCAGGATGCAGAATGGGTTAGAGAAAGATATTACCCTTACCGACGCTGTGCAATTAATCGATTGTTTTTAAAAATCTACTTAAAAATTTTTTAAATATTTTTAATATATCCAAGTATAATAAAAACAGCGTCAAAAGAAATTGCGTTCTTCTATATATAATTATCTCAAAGTATGGCCAGAATTTTTGATTCCATTAGCAAATTTTACAAATTCTTCTTGCAATTCCGCCGTTCTTCTATCTATACAATTTTTAATATTACTAAAAATTATGGAAACAATCATTATAATGCCCAATTGACGGTCGATTAATCGGACAAGCGTACAGCTTTCTCCACCTTCACATATTTTTGTCTTAATCCTTTCAGAAGCACGCTGACAATTATCTATTTTTTTATATTGAGATAAATCCATGTTTTTTCGCATCGAATATCGATTATCAACGATTGATAATCATCAGTAATTGTAAAAAGGCCCCGTCGTATAAAGGATGCATTATGTAGAAACGACATCGTGATTTATAAAATGTATGCTCTAGCTGATGCGCTTCTAAGAATCAAGGATCGTCAATTTCTTCTGTCTCCATTCTTACATCTGCCTAATGGGTACACTCGATTCTTATTATTAATCCGGCTGCCAAGCGTATCGATCGAATCATAAACATTCGATATCGTCACGATTCATGAATATTGCTTTAAATTGAAGACATAAGTTTCTGCGGCTGTCAAAATTTCCTTGCGCAAGATCAATCGCGTGTAGTTAATGATATAAAATCGATTTTTTTATCCGAGAATAAGCTCGATTATCGCTCACATTCCGTCCGGTACCCTGATACATGATCGCTCGGCAATCCGGAGATTATGGTAGATCGATTCGAAATGGCCTTTCTCTACAAAGGATCTTTTCTTTTAAAAAATATTATAGAATATAACATAGCAAGAAAATTGTAGTCTACAAAGACCTGTATTCTCATTATAATTGTTCCGTTTCAGAAATATCTTGCAATTTTTATGATTAGAAGGCAATTTTATTAAAGAAACTACGTTCTTAATTACCAAAAAATATGTTATTTACAAAAATGTTGTGCATACAAGAAAATAAAATTGATAAAGAGAAAAGTGATA